TTGTACTAGAGCTATCATTAGTATCAGCACGATGTTGTGGTTGTGTAGGATTGGAAGAAGGTGGAATTCCAGTGTTTCTTGGTCTTGGGCGCAAAAGTTCTTCCAAAGAGTCAGCGCTGCTAGATCTCACCTCCTTCGCTAATACTCTTTCTACATTTATCCCTTCATTACGTGCTTCTTCAGCAACTTTGGGAGCTGGGTTGCCTTCATCATCATCTAAATGAAGAGGTCTAATCCATTGATAAAGTTGGTTACCCTCTGTATCATCATCTTCAGCAACAATATCAAACACATCTAGTGGGTCACCACGGTCGACATGATCTATTTCTGCTTCCTTATCTCGAATTTGAAGTTTCATGTTGTAGTAGCAATAAACTAATTTTTCCAACCGATTATGAGCCAACCTATTTCTTTGCTTTGTGTGTATGAGTGCAAATGTGCTCCAATTTCTTTCACAAGCAGATGAGGAAGTTGTTTGTGAGAATACTTTGATTGCTAACTTTCTCACAGTTGGTGCATCAGTCCCATACATGATCCCCCATTCAGCTACAATGAAAAACAATGTTGATAAGCCTAATAACTCCAACAAATTCTATTATAAACTTATCGTGAAATATGTTTACACTCACTAGGAGACATTTTTGTTCGAGCGGCAACTGATGTTGGTTCTCCAAAAGTTCTTCTTGCATCTTTAAACTATGTTAGCTGAAATCAATCAATCGTGTTAGTTTAATCCAACAAAGTAATTATTATAATTTAAGTAATTGTGTACCTCATTTCCAAATTGGCCAACTGCTGGTGATGCAGAGTCTAATTTAGAGTATACATTATGTACAGCACATATAAGGGTACCATCATCTCCAACACTGGGTCTGTATTGGTATCGAGGATTCAAATAATATGTTGTTCAAAGAAACACATACTCTAATAAGAGAAATAATACTTATGCAACTAAAGAAATGAATTGCAAATTATGACATAATTTATACCTGCTGCATGCAAATCGTGGTATAATGTTTTATACCATCGGTCTTCAATTATCTTTATGACCCACCTTGCATCATGTTTTCTTTCCAATTCATCCTTCACTACACGCATCAACTCATATATTGCCCCCATAGTAGGATACACTTTTGTGTCAACGATCCGTAAAACTTTGTAAAGAGGTTCAAACACTTGGCACACATGTTCTGATTGTGTCCAAAAAGCATGATCAAGCATTATACTTTCCACCATACGACCTGCATTTGAGCGGCTCAAATTGTCTCAACGGCCCTTGACGAAATTCATCATCTCAATTCAAGAAATACACCTCAACGACCCTTGAAGAAATGTTTCGTTCAAGATCAAGCCTCTACGGCCCTTGAAGAAGCAAGCTAATTCAAGATTAAGTCTCAATGACCCTTGAGTTAAAGCATTCACATTGCAGGACTTCAAAACATGTTTCCTGCATGTGACAAGCACATGCCTACAACCCACCTTGAAGTTAGGGCATTTGTAGACATATAAATTTCGTTGCATACAAATAATGCATCACAAAGCTCCACGTGGCATATGACTCATTGCAAATGGACAAGCCATTAATGACATGTGGCACAAATCAAGCAAAGGAAGTGTAAAACATTCCCAAAATTCGGAAAAAGGGAGAAAATCCCCCTTAAGATCGACAATGGGCCCAAAATCTCTCAAAATCGGAACGAAAGCCAAAGCATCTTCACAAAATAAGCAAGAATTGAAGATTGCTCACAAATGAGCAACAAGGCCTATAAATTTCGGCCAATATGAGGAAATTGGCTGAAATTAAGACACAAAACATGCCTAAATTCTCCCATGAACGAATCAAGACACAAATCAAAGCCAAATCCATCCAAAGGCATGGCTTTGGAAGTTTATAAATACAAGAATCCAAGACACACAAAGGGGTCAAAAATTACACATTGAGATGAACCTCTGCACAAATCTTTAAAGACTAATACGCTACCAAAGCTCTCTTCGCAGAACGCGCAATCAAAGCCGAAGTTTTCTTTTGACCAAAGCCGAAGCAATCCCCTTGAAGAATCAACAAGCACTCGTGATGATTCCTTCAAGACTTTATTCCTAGCTCAAAACTTGTAACGACGTTCGATTCAAGATCAAGTCATCAAAACCCTTGAATCAACGAAATCTCACATCTACACTACCTTTTGCCGCAGCCCTAAACCTGAGGTTAAGACTATCCATGCATTGTTTCAAGCTCAAAACTTGAACTAATCGATCAATCGTTCGTCCGAGATCAAGTCATCGCAACCCTTGGATCAACAATCTACACCATCTACATCAAATTTGAAGGCTGAATCAGAGGAAAATTGTAAACAGAGATTGTAACCCTACAAATTCAAATCAATACAAATCTATTTCATACACGTGTTCTCGTTTCATTCGTTACAGAATTTTCGTGTTTACACCCAAAAAGACTTAAATTGCCTGAAACAACTAATAAACCACGAGGTATGCTCTCAATCAAATTAAGGCGATCATTATATAGGCTTAAACAATCTGGCAAATGTAGTATAATCGTTTCAGTGAGTATTTGATCAAAGAAGGATATACCAACAATGTTATTTGCCCTTATGTGTTCATTAAGAAATCAAATTCTGGATTTGTTATAGTGGCAGTATATGTCGATGATATGAACTTAATTGGAACCTCTAAAGAGCTCAATAAAACTGCTGAATATCTGAAAAGCGAATTTGAAATGAAAGACCTTGGGAAAACAAAATATTGTCTCGGCCTGCAAATCAAGCATTGTGCTAATGGAATTTTGGTCCATCAATCAACTTACATTGAAAAAATTCTGAAGCAATTTGGCATGGACAAGGCTTTTCCACTCAGCACGCCAATGGTCGTTTGTTCTCTGGACATTAAGAAAGATCCATTTTGTCTAAAAGAAGATGATGAAATGGTCATTGGTCCAGAAGTACCATATTTTAGTGCAATATGTGCTTTATTGTATTTAGCACAATGTACTAGATCAGATATATCTTTTTCAATCAACTTGTTAGCAAGGCATAGCTATGCTCTAACAACTCATCATTGGAAGGGAATCAAAGATGTTTTACAATACCTTCGTGGGACAACAGACATGGGTCTTTTCTACTCAGAGAAATCCACAAACGACCAGAACCTTGTTGGATATGCAGATGCTAGTTTTCTCTTCGATCCGCATAAAGCTTGCTCACAAACTAGATATGTGTTCACTAATGGAGATACAGCGATCTCCTGGAGCTCAACAAAGCAAACGTTAGTTGCTACATCTTCCAATCACTTGGAAATACTTGCTTTACATAAAGCTAATCATGAATGTTCTTGGTTAAGATCAATGATTCACCACATCCGGAATTCATGTCATCTACGTTTAAAGACAAACACTCCAACTGTCATTCATGAAGATAATGGAGCTTGTGTTGCCTAAATGAAGGAAGGATTCATCAAGGGCAATAAGACTAAACACATATCTCCAAAGTTTTTGAATGCACATGAGCTTCAAAGGGTTAAAGTTATTGAAGTCAGACAAATCCATTCCAATTAAAATCTGGCAGACATATTCACTAAATCTCTACCAAAGTGCACGTTTCAGAAGCTAGTGCATGGTATCAGATTATGTTGACTTACCAATCAGTTAAATTTGAAGAATGCGGAATCAGGTGGAGCATCCATGATACATGCGTGTTGTACTCTTTTTCCGTCGACTAGGATTTTTTCCACTTAGTTTTTCCTATCAAAGTTTTAATGTGGCAACATAAGCATATTTAACACTATATCAACAATCCAAGCAAAGTTGTACTATTTTTCCTTCGCTACGGTTTTTTCCCACTAAGTTTTTCCGAGCAAGGTTTTAACGATGCAACTGATATTGATATGTGGGCATCCAAAGGGGAGTGTTGTAAAAGTTTTGGGAATAAATGTCCACATGCTTTAGCTAAAAGTGAGAAAGACTTGAGAATAGTAGTGTAATTGTTGTTGTATGATGTTTTTCAAAAAGGCAATCATTTCCTTTTTTTGGTTCTTCACAAATGTGGCTCTATATAAAAAGCATTCTGTGTGTGATCACAATACACAGCAAAAGAAAAGAAGTGAAAACAATAATATCAATATCCCTCCCTTCCTCTCTTTACATGCAATCATTTTATGTTATAGTTACGAAATTAAACAGTGTGATAAATTGCATCCGCTTCGCTCATGTCCCCAACGAAACTTATCTCTATAACTTTTTCTATTTATAACAACTACCATGATATGGGGCTCTTCGAGGGCTTTTAACCATGCCAAGATCGCTCAAACAGTGGTTGGACATAAAAGTAGTCGCTGAACTAATTTTAGTGGATCACGGGTCAAAGTCACCCAAAATGGATCATGTGTTCGGACTTTCTATTTTTGGTAAGTATGAGATTTTCTTCTATTTATAATATTTTTTGTCAAATTACAAAGATGCCCTTAAATTTAAAACGATTGTAACTTTTTTATAACTCCTCTTCATTTGTAAAAGTATCAAGATTGTAACTTCATTATAACCCAGTTAAACACCCACCAATTAGAAATGATGTTAAATGGCATTGATTACACTACTTTTGTGATATCGTGCTAATATTATAAGAACATATATTTAATTTGGTTTCGTGTTGTAAACAATGAATATGTTTGCCTACATGTATACAGTAAAGATTTATATGTTAAATAGTGAAGTTTTTGTAAGTTTTCAAGGTACTTTCTCTATAAATAGAGCACTACGGGTGTTCAAAACGCACGGATACAAAAAGCAATAAGAGAAGAAAAATAAGTTAGAATATTTTCTGCATTCTCATATTCCTTATTTACCTGCAATCATTCTGTTATAGTTAATAAACAAAACAGTATTATATCTTACATCCATTTTACACTCGCTCTTAACAAATGTTATTTCTCTAACTTTTATTTATTTATAACACTTCCCTGATTTTCATATTTGAATTATTGATACCAAACGCTGCGACATACAAGTTTTATTGTAGTCGGGGGACCTCATGTGTATTACAAATTTACAACTTTGTGTATCCTCGCCGAAACCCAGAATCCATCTGTCTCTCTGTTGTCAATGGAAGTCCAAAGAAGCCAAACCAAATAACCAGAGTCCCTGGAGCTTCCAATTTGTATCCATGGGCACCCCAAATCCAAACCCGTCATCCATACGGACCCTAGTCCGCCCACCTCCTACACCCACCACCACCACACGGTCCACACCCACTTCCTATTCACCCTCCCAAACCCTTCCGCTTCCCTCCTCCTCCCCCTCCTCCGACCCTCCCCCTTCCGATGGTGTTGTCGTCGTGGGCTTCATTGGCTGAAGCCCCTATGACTCTGCCCAACTCACCAACCGGATTATCGACTCCAACGTGTTTGGGTCGGGCAATTTCGATAAAAGCCTGTGTCTTGAGAAAGAGGAGCTCAGGAACTGGTTCAGGTGGTGAAGAATCAGTTACTTCCATGAGCAGAAAAAAGGCATTCTCTTTTAGCAGTTCTGCTCTACCCGGTGCCCCGCCTTGGATGATGGGTCGTCAGATTCTGTGTCGGGTTTTGACTCTCCGGTGGAAGAGCACGAGTTTGGGGACCTTCAGGCGCTGCTCTTCATGTTCTCTGTAAGTTGTTCTTCTTTGTTTTTCTCCCTTTTTCTTAGAAGCAGTATTTTTAGTCCAGATATTGGGATTTTGATATGTCATAATGTTATATAAAAATGAGCAGAAATCGATTGTATCATTATGTAAAAACGTAGAAGTATTGCGAAAAAAATGTGTGAAAATTTCGCTGACAAAGAATTTCCATGGGCATTATACTGTATATAGTTACTAGTACAAGAACTTAGCTGTACTCAGTATATGACCAATTTTCTTATTTAGGCAGTTAGAATTTTGAAAAGGAAGTTTTGGGGTTTCAATCTATAGGGGATGTGAATGGTTGATTTAACTGTGATTAACCCAATGAGTAATGCAGGTTTGCCATGTAATAGTATATATTATAGAGGGATCGCAATTTGATTCACAACTCCTGCAAAAGTTTCGAGTGTTCCAAGCGGCCAAGAATGATTTGGCTCCGTTTGTGAGATACAGAACTGTGCAGCCAACACCGTCCAGGCCACCTTCATCATTGTCATCCTCACGGCCTACTACATCCTCTAGCTTCACTAGCAAATCTTCTCAAGGTATAAGTGGTGGCATCTTGACTCGCAATGCTTCTGCCATTTCGCTTATGTCAGGTTTCGGTTCCTACACTTCTTTGTTTCCAGGACAGTGTACGCCAGTCACACTGTTTGTTCTCACACACCCCATTTTACTTCTCACACACCCCTTAATAATTTCTGTCCGTTGATCTTCTTCAATTCATCCGATCCGACAGTTGAAAATTAAAAAGGTGTGTGAGAAGTAAAATGGGGTGTGTGGATATCACACCCCTGTTTTTATTGGTGATCTCTCTGATGTGCCAAATCCCGGTTCTAATCTGGAGGAGTCGGTTCATACATCCTCACTTAATCAATTGTTTAGTGTGAGCAGTTTAGTAAGGCCAAGCATGCCTGTTAAAGGTTTGGGTTCAGTGGTTGTGCTTGCACGCCCTGTGAGCAAATCTGAGAGTAGTTTTAGGAAGAAACTGCATTCATCCCTAGAAGCACAGATTTGTTTTTTAATTAAGAAAAGCAGAACACTCTCAGGTTCTGAAAGCAGTCATGGGGGGTCAAGAAGTGGGGGTGCAAATTCTGCACCTTTACTCTCCCTTGATGCATCAAGGGCTGTTCTTTTGTTAGATAGGTCTACAAATCAAAGAGGTGAATCCCTTGAATTTGCCACAGGACTCGTGGAAGATGTTTTGAATGGGAAGGCAACATTAGATTCTCTTCTGCTTGAAAGTCATGGTCAAAATGCAAGCAAAGAGGATATCATATCAGTCAAGGATTTTATTTACAGACAATCTAATATTCTATGAGGTAGGGGGATCGGTAAATAATTCTAGTAGTGGTTCAGCTGCTGGTGTTGGTATGGCTGCTGTTGCTGCTGCATCAGCTGCATCTTCATCTGCTGCACCAGCGGCATCTTCATCTGCTGCACCAGCTACTTCTGGAAAGCAGATGTCTACTCCTGAACTTCCAAATTTCCAAATTTGGTTATCTTCCAGTCAACAGATTCTTCATGGAATTCTTTCTGCAAAAGGTGGGTGCTTAGATGAAACTGAAACTAGCAAAAGAAAACCTCACCTAAGAAACACAGTTCCACAGCAGGCTGAAGGAGTTTCTTCAAAAGGTACGGATCTTGTAAATTTGATGCCCAATTTGCAATTGTTTCATGCAAATAAGGGAGTTTCAAAATTACCCCAAGTAATTATAGGACATTGTATTCTGTTTAAAAGTTTGAAATTACAACACTAACTGGGAAAACATTCCACACAAATCCGGTACAATGTCATCTGAGATTCATCACCTTCAGTTTTCTGATGTGGCTTGAAATGTCTTCTTTAAGAAGAGAGAATGCTTTACAAAATTATGGATTAGAACCTTCATTTTTTTATTAAAAAAAAATTCTACATATTTTCGCCTTCCCATATTATTTCTTTCCCTTAAAGGACGCAATCTGAAGGGATGGCGACTTCTGCTTCTGCACCAGCTTTACTATGACCACTATTCTAAAAATTCCCGCCTAGCGCCGTCTTGACGCTAGACAATTGGTTACTGTCCCGATTAATGCTTAGATATTTGAAAATTAAGAAAAAAGATCTAGACCAACTGAGGCACTCGCCTAGACTGCCTAGGCACCCGCCTAGCCCGCCCAAACCTGCCTAGGCACCTACCTAGGTTGTGACTCACTTAAAAAGAAAATAAATAACTTTCAATTTGCATTTAATTTTTTTTTTTCAATAAAATGTTAGAGACTTGTTGATACTTAAATGAGCACACACTATATGTTTGTTCCCCATGTTTTCATTATGTTCAAATACTTCATAATACATATGTCATTCTATTTTTAGTTTATGATGAAATTATATATATTAAGTATAAACAGACACTTATTTATGGGAAATTTGGAAAAGTAACCAAATTTTGGATCCCATATAGAATTATAGCCATCATTTTAGATTTACGATAATTATAACCCAAAATTGATATAAAAGTACTAATATACCCTTTGATACACCTTTATAATTTTGTATCAAAATAAAAACTCAAAAAATGGACAATTAAATCCCCTTCTACTACAAGTTCAGAGACAAAACATATCGAAATCAGATAATGCAGAAGAGAAATGCCAAATGAAAACTGATACAAAATTTGCAATGGACAAAAAGCAGCTAATAATAGGTAATGATCTTCTTTTTCATGCTTGCTAGATGCCCCAAACTTGTAAAAATCAAAAATTGCTAAATGTAAACGAATAAATGTGTGTGGTGTGGGGCAATAAATATATATATTGACATGTTCTCCAAGTGATCTTAGCCATGAGTGTTCATGTCTTCCCAGACCATGCTCTTCGGGACTGGATTCAACAAAAGACCATTTTTGAACGACAATAAATAAATTTTTCTTATCACACACAAATCAAACCGAGAAAATTCTTTTGTTCACACGGTCTATTTTTTTTCTTTGGAACCCAAAAAAAGAACTCGGTAAGACATTGGGATAATCTCATATTTGATTTGGGTTTTTTGGATTTGTTTTCAAACTCTCTCCTTATCTCTCAATTTCTGTTTCAAGTGTATATTAGTATTTATCAATTTTTAGTTATAATTATCATAAATTTAAAAGAGTGGCTATGGTTCTATATGGGGTTCAAATTTTGATTATTTTTCCAAATTTCTCCTTATTTACACGAAATATAATAGATTTACTTAAATCCGTCTAGTCCGCCTAGACCCCACCTAGGCGCCCGTCTAGACCCAAGCCCGCCGCCCGACTAGCGCTTAACGTCTTTTAAAACCTTAACTATGACATATCAGCCGAGGTCATTGTGTTGTACACTCTGTCAGAAGCGTTCTTCACCTACAAAAGGAATGAAAAATAGATCATGAGATGAATGTAAAATCAGACTGACTAAACAAAACATAACATGACAAAGTAGCTTACTTCTTTCTCCCAATCTGTGCATATGATTATGATCGAAAGACATAGTGCCTGCACGAATAGAGCCACGATAATTCCAGTCCAAAGACCCTGTGAAGAACATAAACGTTAATTTGAAATTAATACTTGTGTTATATGTCCATAAAAGATTGAGAAAGTAGAGAAACTAAAACTAAAAAAGTAGGGAGGGGGGTTTAAAAAAATAGAAGGATAAGGACTATGATGTTACCTTCCCTCCAATGTGCAGGACAAAAGCTAATAATACTGCAACAGGAATGCCCATAAAATAGTAAGCTCCCAAATTAACATACGCCCCAACCTTTTGCTGCCCACTTCCTCTTATGACCCCTGAAATTGTAAATTAGTGTCACTTCTCTTCCGTAAATATCGGCTACAAAAACTTGGAAAATTGGCTAAAATGACCAGAAATCAAATCATAATTTTGAATTGATCAAAATGAAATATCGACCACATATTGAATGATCATATATCAACAACATAGAGATAAGATATCAACAACACATTCAGTATATATGAGTTGAATGAAATTCAAAATCCTTGCGACAGAAAAAAACGTAAAGTTTTGACTTCAGTTTTAGCAGTAGGTTATGCTGGTATCACATAAAGTTTCCGAAATCCAAAATTAGAACAGAAAAATCTATTGCTATGAGAGAGAAATTGTGCAAACCGGAACAAACCTGAAAGCACAGATTGAAGTCCATCAAAAAAGTGAGATACCGCAACCAAAATCAACATTTCTCCCACATAATTCACAACTTCAGTTTCATTGCTGTAACAGTAGCCCCAAACTTTTCGACCCAATATCAGGACAGCACCGATCAAAAAGCCTTCAATAACCACAATGGACAGTGCAACACGTACTGCTAGAATTGCGAGTCGTGGTTGACTGGCACCCAATTGATTTGAAACCCTTGTGCTGTTATGTATAAGTAATTAACAGAAAAGAGTTTTTAAGACAAGTATCCAACAATAGAGGCATAAACACTTCGACGCGAATTTAGGGTCTTAAACTCACCTTGCTGTACCACTGAATGCCATTGGAATCATGTACACCATTGAACATGTGTTAAGGCTGAAAATGTAATCAATCCGTTAGTAATTTCGCTGTTTCAGCTTCATCTTTGTCAGCTGTATATAAGAGTTTATATTGCTCCTTGCTCAGTAGAGCATAAATATTGCAAACCTGATTGAGAGGACTGAGGTTTCTAGCTTTGGATTAGGAAGGAAACCGGATAAGAGGACCATCAATTCGAATGACCAAATCTCCAAGCTGTTCACAGACATAAAACCAGCAACCAATTACACTAGGTGCTAACACTTCATAATTGCAAATTTTCTGCTGAACAATTATCGTTACAGAAGAAGGAATAGATAGTTTTATAGATAGCTTCACTACAGAATGCGTCGACAAATGATTACCCGATCATTGCAGCAGAAGGAAATGATTACCTGATCATTACAGCAGAAGGAATAGCTAGTTTTATAAAATCGGGAATTCCACGGAAGGCCTCCTTTGAGAATCCAGTCCATGTGTGTTTACAAGAGGGAGAGACTCTAACATAAATTACTAACAACAATGCATTGATCCAATATGAGATGGAGTTTGCCAACGCCGCACCTCTATATCCAAGGCTAGTCTTGTATACCAGAAACCAACAGAGAAACAAGTGCAATAGCGTTGCTGTGCCTGTGCTAGCAATCATGGGAACCACATTGTTTTGAGTTTGCAAAAATCTAGAATGACATTGTTGGATTGCATATGCAAAAAGACATGGAATCAGGAAACGAGCATAATTTCCAGCAGCAGCTGCTATTTCAGGATCTTGACCCAAGAATTTAAGAATATGACCAGCATTGAACCATACAGTTGCCAAAGGAATGCAGACCAGGCCAAGAACAAGCATTGCTCTCTGTAAGTGTATACCAAGCATGTGATACTGTTTTGCACCATAGGACTGGCCGCAGAATGTGTCTAATGCACTCCCCATTCCTATCTGTTCAACAAATTAAGGTTGAAATGAGAATAGTATCATAATATACATATTGAAATTATTTGGAGGGATAATCTGATAGCCTGTACTAGACCTGTCATTTTAAACCTGACTTGACCCACCCCTTAAAATTAGTATTTGGACCTTCATGTTTAAAATATTGACTAAAATATGTGTAACTTGTATTGGAACGCAAAAAGAAACAAAAAAGAAGTTGTTAACGGGTGAAACAGATGACCAATTAGCTTAACATGTTGGGTTTGAATGTTGTTAGCTTAACGGTCGGTTTCGGGTGACCCGTTAGCCTAACGGGTCGAGTGAAACCGATCCAAACCTAATAAACCCAACCTATTTACAGGTCTAGCCTATACGGCACACTCTGATTTGTATTTCAATGATCTGAACCGTCTACTTTCAAGGTTCTCTCTTTATCTCTTTGTTTTGTAAGTGCGAATTTCCAGAATAAAAAGCAAAAAGTTATCCCACTACAGTTGTCTATTATATACCATATGATGACTCGTGATTTAATTACTAGTAAAATCAATAAGAATATAAATTATATCAAATAATCTGAAATAAGTAGAGAAGCCATCTTACTATCAAGCTCAAACCAGTGACTGAAGCAAATGAAGTGGCCATGGAAGCACCTGCAAGTGCCAGCTCTCCAAGGTGACCAACATACATGACCGAAATCACCTGCATACCAAATAGCAAGAAATTTGAGGACACAAGTGGCCCAGCCAACAAAAGCTGCTTCTTTACTTCCTTGATAACCTCATCCTTGCTCAGCGGTCCTTGTTTTCTTTGTACTTCAAGTTCTTGAGGAAGAACTGGAATCAAGGGTGACTCGAGACCCGCTGTTTGTACTTCAGGATCCATTTGGGTATTTTGTTTTGTTTCTTTTCTTCAGAGGGCAAACGTGTGAGAATGCAGCTAAGACCGAGTCCAACCCTTAAACTAATATTCAATTTTTATGTTCTAAACCTACATTCTCCAACCGTTGAGTCAAACATAAGTTTTAACCCAAAATTTATTTTTGGGACAAATGTAGTCAATAATTCTCCTAGATTATTGGGCTAGACCATGTATTTTTTTTATTTTATATTTATAAATTTATTAAATCCTATGACTAATATCTAATATGATCAAATCTCAACAACAACAACAACAAAGCCTTTTCCCACTAAGTGGGGTCGGCTATATGAATCCTAGAACGCCTTTGCGCTCGGTTTTGTGTCATGTCCTCCGTTAGATCCAAGTACTCTAAGTCTTTTCTTAGGGTCTCTTCCAAAGTTTTCCTAGGTCTTCCTCTACCCCTTCGGCCCCGAACCTCTGTTCCGTAGGCACATCTTCGAACCGGAGCGTCAGTAGGCCTTCTTTGCACATGGCCAAACCACCGTAACCGATTTTCTCTCATCTTTCCTTCAACTTCGGCTACTCCTACTTTACCTCGGATATCCTCATTCACAATCTTCTCCTTTCTCGTGTGCCCACACATCCCACGAAGCATCCCACGAAGCATCCTTATCTCCGCTACACCCATTTTGTGTACGTGTTGATGCTTTACCGCCCAACATTCTGTGCCATACAACATCGCTGGCCTTATTGCCGACCTATAAAATTTTCCCTTGAGCTTCAGTGACCTACGACGATCACACAACACGCCGGATGCACTCTTACACTTCATCCATCCAGCTTGTATTCTATAGTTGAGATCTCCATCTAATTTTCCGTTCTCTTGCAAGATAGATCCTAGGTAGCGAAAACGGTCGCTTTTTGTGATCGTCGCTAGATTGCTCCGGTTATTAGTGTGGATAAGTATATAAATGGATAAAGATAGGAAAGCAAACACCAGATGTACGTGGTTCACCCATATTGGCTACGTCCACGAAATAGAGGAGTTCTCATTAATTGTGAAGGGTTTACACAAGTACTTAGGTTCAAGCTCTCTTTTAGTGAGTACAAGTGAATGATTTAGTACAAATGACATTAGGAAATATTGTGGGAGAATGATCTCGTAATCACGAAACTTCTAAGTTCCGGAGTGTGGTATCGTCTTGACTTGCCTTATCTGTCTCGTAGGTAGATGTGGCATCTTCTCTGGAAGTACTCTTCCTCCATCCAGGGGTGGTATCTTTAACTGGTGGAGATGCACAAGGTAATGTATCAATTTCACTTGAAGCTTACTTGTAGTTTCAGGCTTGGTCAAGCGCGATACAAACCATGTAGTAGGAGTCCTCCAAGTCGCCGAGCTAGGGGATCTGCTGAAAGAGGTGACAGACAAGGTAAGCAATCAGAGCTCCAAACAATCAGTCCCAGATCAGAACTTTGATTTCGAGTTCCGGCTGATTGTTCACATTTTCCCTATCTTGCAGGCAGCATGAAGGATAAAGAGAAGAAAAATGAGAAGAGATGATATGGGATACTTTTGCTTTTGAAGAAGTAACTTTCCACAGGCTTATTCTTGAACTGGGCTGGAGGGTTTTCTGGTTTCCTCCAGAGTATAAGGCCGACTGAAGAATTTGAGGTCAAAACAAGTCCATCAAATCTATAGTACGTTCGACCCTGCTGATATGGGATACTTTTGCTTTTGACAGAGTAGTGGATGTATCGGCACGTGTGCTGTTACGCTTGTCTCCACATGCTTCCTTGTATCCTTCTCACTTGCCCTATATGTTCCTCAGGCAGATGCGGTATCTTCCCTGGAAGCATAAGATGTTGAAGATGAGTACTCGATAGCAATGCCAGGTAAGTAATCAAGTAAGGGGTTCCAGGCAGTCAGTTCCTGACTGGAAGCTTGATTCCAAGTGCTGACTGATTGCTCTTTTTCTCCTTGTCTTGTAGGTAAGAACAAGGCCAAAGGAAAAGACAGGGAAAAAACATGATATGGGATACTCTTGCTTTTAACCCTGATGATATGAGATATTCTTGCTCTAGTATAGCTTGTTTGCAGAGGTATTATCGGGGGGAAAGAAAGCTGAATATTTCGAAAGGCTTCTTTGGGAGTGCCCTCTCAGATATGAGGAAGGGTTGAGCATTTTTGCAGGTCTGCCTGTCTGTTGGGGATGGAGGTCAACATATATAGGAGTCTCCCTAACAACAAGTAGTAATGCTATTCCTTTACCCTGCTTGGTCATAACACGGTAGTGGGAGCTGCCAGCTTCACATGTTTTAACTTTGTCAGAGCACTTTGAAAAAGTGGTCTATGGTATCTGGAAAGCTGATGTTGCGTGTAAAGATTACAGACAAGCTTTATCCAAGGAGATCCGGCTCTTGAAGTTGGGAAAGTGGTGCCTCTTCGGTTTTCGACCAAGCAATCCTGTCGGAGATCTGGCTCTCGAGATTCGGAGAACGATGCCTTTTCGATTTTTGAGAAAGCCATCCTGCTAGGGGTCTGGCTCTCGAGATTCGGAGAGCGGTGTCTCTTCGATTTTTTAGAAAGTAATCATGTTGGGAGTCTGGCTCTCGAGATTCGGAGGGCGGTGCCTCTTCGATTTTGGAGCAAGCAATCTTGTTGGGAGTGTTTTCTCGAATGTGAGAAAAGGTTGGGCATGTTTGCTAGTCTATCTTGCCACGAAGCACAGAGGTTGACACACAGGGACTTTCCAATTATCCAGCAGTGGTATTGTTCCTTTACCCTTGTGGGTAATAATATGGTAGCTAGACCTTCAAAATTTATGTGTCTAAACTTTGTTAGTGCTGTTTCTTTGCTATTCTTTTACCCTTCTTGGTCAGAGCGGTGTAGTGGGAGCTGCAAGCTTCACGTGTCTCAACTTTGTCAGAGAACTTTGGCAAAGTTATCTGTGGTACCCATGAGCTAATGTTGCGTGTGGAAAGTGGATGATTGAACAGTAAGATTCATGTGCTTTCTACTTCACCAGAAATCTTCGACATAATGCCCATAATTTCCGCAAAGCTGACAGGTGCTGACAAGGCTGGAAAAGTAGGTGCCTCTTCGATTTCTGAGATCGACCCTCGTGGTCTCTGAGTAGCCTAGCTTTTGAGAAAGCAAGCGCATCTTCGATTTCTGAGATCGGCCTTCGTGGTCTTTGAGCAGCCCAACTTTTGAGAAAGCAAACGTCTCGTGGTCTCTGAGCAGCCCAGGTTTTGAGAAAGCAAACGCCTCTTCGATTTCTGAAGCTCCGTCGAGTGCAGATTTTTATAGAGGCTGGCATTAAGTTCCAAAGCACACTTGAATCTCCACCAGTAGAAGCTCCATTCTTGCACTTCTAAGATCTTGATTTGTCCGACCTCTTCTCTCTTCAACACCTTTGAAAATGTCTGGCCCCTCCGACCGTTGTTTTGACTTGAACCTTGTTGAAGAGGCAACCACGCCTTCTCCAGACAACATATGGCGCCCATCCTTCGTCTCCCCTACTGGTCCTCTTACCGTTGGGGATTCCGTGATGAAGAATGATATGACCGCTGCGGTAGTGGCCAGGAACCTTCTCACTCCTAAAGATAACAGACTACTTTCCAAACGGTCTGATGAGTTGGCTGTTAAGGATTCTCTGGCTCTCAGTGTTCAGTGTGCAGGTTCTGTGTCTAACATGGCCCAACGCCTATTTGCTCGAACCCGCCAAGTTGAATCATTGGCGGCTGAAGTGATGAGTCTCAAACAGGAGATTAGAGGGCTCAAGCATGAGAATAAACAGTTGCACCGGCTCGCACATGACTATGCTACAAACATGAAAAGGAAGCTTGACCAGATGAAGGAATATGTTGGTCAGGTTTTACTTGATCATCAGATATTTGTGGGTTTGTTCCAAAGGCATTTATTGCCTTCTGGGGCTGTACCGCGTAATGAAGCTCCAAATGATCAACCTCTGATGCCTCCTCCTTCTAGGGTTCTGTCCAGTACTGAGGCTCCGAATGATCCCCCTCCAGTGCCTGCTCTTTCTGGGGCTCTACCGACTGCTGAGACTTCTCCTAAGCAACCTTTGTGAAGGCTCCCTCTTGTTTGTTTATTTTGATTCATGTATATGTACATATTTGTGACTTATCGGGGATATCAATAAATAGCTTTCCTTCATTTCAACGTATTGTGTTGAATACACCAAAGCCTTCTTCGCTAAGTTCTCTGAATTTTCTTTTGTTGAAGCTTGTATGTTGAAGCTTTGTGAGTGGAGCATGTAGGTTGAGGTAGTATTCCCTTAATTTCCCGAGTGAGGAAAACTTCTCGGTTGGAGACTTGGAAAATCCAAGTCACTGAGTGGGATCGGCTATATGAATCTTTGAACGCCATTATGCTCGGTCCTGTGTCATGTCCTCCGTTAGATCCAAGTACTCTAAGTCTTTGCTTAGAGTCTATTCCAAAGTTTTCCTAGGTCTTCCTTTACCCATTCGGCCCTGAACCTCTGTCCCATAGTCGCATCTTCTAATCGGAGCGTCAGTAGGCCTTCTTTGCACATGTCCAAACCACCGTAACCGATTTTCTCTCATCTTTCCTTCAATTTCGACTACTCCTACTTTACCCCGGATATCCTCATTCCTAATCTTATCCTTTCTTGTGTGCCCACACATCCAACGAAGCATCCTCATCTCCGCTACACCCATTTTGTGTACGTGTTGATGTTTCACCGCCCAACATTCTGTGCCATACAGCATCGCCGGCCTTATTGCCGTCCTATAAAATTTTCCCTTGAGCTTCAGTGGCATACGGCGGTCACACAACACGCCGGATGCACTCTTCCACTTCATCCATCCAGCTTGTATTCTATGGTTGAGATCTCCATCTAATTCTCCGTTCTTTTGCAAGATAGATCCTAGGTAACGAAAACGATCGCTCTTTGGTATTTCTTGATCTCCGATCCTTACCCCTAACTCGTTTTGGCCTCCATTTGCACTGAACTTGCACTCCATATATTCTGTCTTTGATCGGCTTAGGCGAAGACCTTTAGATTCCAACACTTCTCTCCAAAGGTTAAGCTTTGCATTTACCCCTTCCTGAGTTTCATCTATCAACACTATATCGTATGCGAAAAGTATACACCAAGGAATATCAACTTGAATATGTCCTGTTAACTCATCCATTACCAACGCAAAAAGGTAAGGACTTAAGGATGAGCCTTGATGTACTCCTACAGTTATGGGAAAGCTTTCGGTTTGTCCTTCATGAGTTCTTACGGCAGTCTTTGCTCCTTCATACATATCCTTTATAGCTTGGATATATGCTACTCGTACTCCTTTCTTCTCTAAAATCCTCCAAAGAATGTCTCTTGGGACCCTATCATACGCTTTTTCCAAATCTATAAAGACCATGTGTAAATCCTTTTTCCTATCTCTATATCTTTCCATCAATCTTCGTAAGAGATAGATTGCCTCCATGGTTGAGCGCCCTGGCATGAACCCGAATTGGTTGTCCGAAACCCGTGTCTCTTGCCTCAATCTATGCTCAACGACTCTCCCAGAGCTTCATTGTATGACTCATTAGCTTAATACCCCTATAGTTCATGCAATTTTGTACGTCACCCTTATTCTTGTAGATAGGCACCAAAGTGCTCGTTCGCCACTCATTTGGCATCTTCTTCGTTTTCAAAATCCTATTGAAAAGGTCAGTGAGCCATGTTATACATGTCCCTCCCAAAACTTTCCACACTTTGATTGGTATATCGTCTGGGCCTACTGCTTTTCTATGCTTCATCTTCTTCAAAGCTACAATCACTTCTTCCTTCCGGATTCGACGATAAAAAGAGTAGTTTCTACACTCTTCTGAGTTACTCAACTCCCCTAAAGAAGCACTCATTTCATGTCCTTCATTGAAAAGATTATGAAAATAACCTCTCCATCTATCTTTAACCGCGTTCTCTGTAGCAAGAACCTTTCCATCCTCATCCTTGATGCACCTCACTTGGTTTAGGTCCCTTGTCTTCTTTTCCCTTGCTCTAGCTAGTTTATAGATATCCAACTCTCCTTCTTTGGTATCTAGTCGCTTATACATATCGTCATAAGCCGCTAACTTAGCTTCTCTCACAGCTTTCTTCGCCTCTTGCTTCGCTTTTCTATACATTTCACCATTTTCATCGGTCCTATCCTTGTATAAGGCTTTACAACATTCCTTCTTAGCCTTCACCTTTGTTTGTACCTCCTCATTCCACCACCAAGATTCCTTTTAGTGTGGGGCAAAGCCCTTGGACTCTCCTAACACCTCTTTTGCTACTTTTCGGATACAACTAACCATGGAATCTCACATTTGGCTAGCTTCCCCCTCTCTATCCCACACACACTGGGTGATTACTTTCTCTTTGAAAATGACTTGTTTTTCTTCTTTTAGATTCCACCATCTAGTCCTTGGGCACTTCCAAGTCTTGTTCTTTTTTCTCACTCTTTTGATATGTACATCCATCACCAACAAGCGATGTTGATTAGCCACGCTCTCTCCTGGTATAACTTTGCAATCCTTACAAGTTATACGATCCCCTTTCCTCATTAGAAGAAAATCTATTTGTGTTTTTGACGACCCACTCTTGTAGGTGATCACATGTTCTTCTCTCTCTTCTTAAAGAAGGTGTTGGCTAAGAAGAGATCATATGCCATTGCAAAATCCAAGATAGCTTCCCCATCCTCGTTTCTCTCCCCAAAACCATGGCCACCATGAAAACCTCCATAGTTGCCTGTCTCCCTGCCCACGTGTCCATTTAAATCTCCTCCTATAAATAACTTCTCCGTTTGAGCAATTCCTTGCACCAAGTCTCCAAGGTCTTCCCAAAATTTCTCCTTCGAACTCATATCCAACCCTACTTGAGGTGCGTACGCACTAATCACATTGATAAGTTCTTGTCCTATTACAATCTTGATTGCCATGATTCTATCTCCTACCCTCTTGACATCTACAACATCTTGTGTCAAGGTCTTGTCCACGATGATGCCAACACCGTTTCTCGTTCTATTTGTGCCCGAGTACCAAAGTTTAAACCCTGAGTTTTCTAGATCCTTTGCCTTAAGACCAACCCACTTAGTTTCTTGTAGACACATAATATTTATCCTTCTCCTCACCATAACTTCCACTACTTCCATAGATTTTCCCGTTAAGGTTCCTATATTCCACGTTCCTAAACGCATTCTACTCTCCTGAACTCTACCCTTCTGTCCTAGCTTCTTCACCCTCCCCCGTCCAATGGAATCAAAGTACTTCTTTTGTGTGTCCCGTGTAAAGTTGATAGGTGCATATGCTCCCAAACAACTTTGAGTGGAGTCGTTCGAAAAGAAGTTTCTATGGCCCCCTTGCTCATTTAACACTGCATCCGGGTGCCTATGGAGATACAGCGACCCTTGCTCACTTATCACTGTGCTCGGGCCACACAGCGCGCCACTTACGGGTGACGCCCTAGCTTTAGCGCGATTTCGTTCTGAATTCATTTTCATAAGGATTATTTATCATAATCTAAATATTTTTAAGTTAAAATATTCATAAAATTAAATTAGAATGATGTACATAATAATTGAAGCAGAAAAACTATTTATGAGTTAAAACCTAAATTTTCTAATTTAAGTACTCTTATATTTATGTAAAACTCCGCCTATGTAAGTTTATCTTACATTGCCGATCCCAAGCCCGGGTAAAGGAGGAGGGGGAGGGCGTCAGGTAGTCGACAGTCGGCACTCCACAGTTACGTCGAATCCTTATGAAGTACTTTTATTTTAGTAAACACTAGTAATATGATCGCGCGATGCTGCGGGACTTGAATGCATCAGCCTTAACTAAATGAATAAGACAAATTTAACCTGAAAAACATTCAATATAATCATGAACAAACAAAAATGATAAAAAACACAGAGTCCACTGTTGCTGCCTTGGCAGCATCTTGAACGGGAAGAATACCAATTAACCCCTTCTGTTCCCGCTGCCATAACTCATGCTGCACCAATTTGACACTACAAATCAAATTCCCCAATTTTATCAATTCGATAATCTACCAGTTAGAAAAATCCAACTTACAAACCGCATAACGATCAATTACCTAGAAAAAGGAAAAAGGAAAGTTGGCATTTAAAATTAACTCTGGCAAAATTGAAGAACAAAATATGCAAAATTTTTGCAGTAAAAAGTAATAACGTTTGATTCTTCAATGTTTCACCCATAAAATTCCAAATCTATCAATGTTTCACCATAAAAGTCCAAATTTATAAACACAAAAACGAAGAACAAAGAAAAATTACCTATAAAACCATGTGCGTGGGCATGCTTCACTGGCATCTTTTATCAAACATGTAGCGGGCATTAAGCATTCAATTTGACATAATCGAGTTCATCTACACTTGTTTATCCATTGAACAAAAGAGACACTATGAATGTAAATGTTGTTTTGAAACTCGAATCAGACGCGTATAAGTACTCTTAACATATTTCGGAAATTTTATTTCATCAAGTGATTTCAAAATTCAACAAATTGAATAAATCAGCACACAGAAGAAATATGAAAAATTACATTTAGAAGAACTGGAAGACAAATTTACATTTAGAAGGAATAATACCATCCCAATTAAGAGGACCCCATAATTTATCAATAAACAAATAAGCATTGTTAAAAACCCAAAATTACCCAATTGGAATAATGATAACAATTGGACAAGGCAGAAGAAACCGTAGAGAATCAACAGTTCAGAGTCCACAACCTGATACTTTTACTGAGTTCATACAGCTAAAGGAGCAGTCCAATTACTAAATTGCAAAGAAAAATCTTCAAAAAATAGCATCTAATAGCACATCAGATAGTAAACTTGGAATTAACTACAGATTCTGCAAGACAGCATTTAAGATAGATGTGTAAACAATATGGAATCAAATCTCCACCTAAATGGGTTGTTGGAGAACCTGCAATCCTTGAAAATTGTTGTAATTCAAATCCAAGTGGTTAAGATGCTTCAAATGGAGCAAAAAGGATTTATCTTACCACCCAACCAAGTATTACCGTTGTCGAAATCCCAATCATAGAGGTGGAAATCCTACTGAAAATTGGGATTAGTGAGGCGAAGTTGAAGGATCTTGATATGTCAAACGACAATTTAAATGAAGATATATCCGATATGTTTGACAGGACTCTTCCCAGTTCAATATCAGGTCTCATCCCAGTTTAACAGGACTCTTCCAGAAAGAGTTGGGCAACTTAAATTGCCAATTAAATTAGATATATCTCATAATTCAATGAAAATTAAACATACCAGGTGAGCAATACCAGACATTCCTGCCTTCAAGCAACCGGATATTGTCTACATGTTCAACTAAACCTCCACAGATAACTGCAAAAAAACTGATGAGAATCATTTAGAAACGAAGAAAAACCGATATTAATAAATAAAAAAGAAGTCGGAGAAAAAATAGAGAGGAAACAATTCCTTTTGCAGAGCCATCCTCTTGATTTACATAGCTAAAAGGTAGCGTTTAATGGCAATTAAACACGCATTTAGTTCCTCCATGTTTTTTACATAATCTCTTTTTATATTTGCAAATATAACTTTCAAAACCGAAACTCTCTCCAATTTCACACAAAAATGTAAATTTGCACGGTAATTACTACAATTTGAAGCAAAATTGAGGTTACCCAATACTCCAATTCAACAATTAACAAAAAAAAACCAATATTGCCAACGAAGAAAACAAAACACAAACAAATGAAACCCGAAATAAAGAATCTACACTCTGTAGAGAAAGATAACAACTTTACCTCCCTCCATGCACAGTAATTGAAATTCCAGATCATGGGTTTGTTGGGTGGTGGCGGTGATTTTGCTGCAAGAGAGAGTTGGAGAAAATGGACAAAAATGTTATTAAAATGAAGAACAAAAACCATTAATCAGACAACCCAAATTCAGTTTTCCATTAGCATTTTTCCAAAAGAAGGCAATCAATTGCTGACACATGTAAAAAATCAAGCAAGTTGAGGAGCAGAAGCAGGTGACGGTGGACGATACAGAAGCTTTTAGAGAAGATCAAAATATATAATCTAGAAAAACAAATAAAGCAGCCAATCCGAAGTTAAATAAACAGAAAAAAAAAAGGGGAGAAAAAGACAACCTGAATACAAAGTGTTCCACATGCTGTATTCAAATTGATTACACAACGATTACATATCTGAAATTGATATCAACTCACCTAAACACTTAATTTTCTATATTCTATTAGGTTCAATTTTTAATTTTCTATATTCTATTAGGTTCAAACTTTTTCTCTCTTTGTTTTTTCATTTTTACCATACCAATCTGTGCATTTTTCTGTCAGTATGCCTTAACTTTTGAGTCACTATATACACCTACTATATAACCACCCCCCCCCTCTCTCTCTCTCTCTCTCCCTCTCTCCAGCTATCCTTTTAAATAGCTCTATCATAACCCATGCTCACTTTCACCCAACAACCAAAGAAACAGAGGAGAAGGGAAGACACCACATTTAATTAATTCATGATTTTGTCTAATTATCAGATCATCCAAAAGCACACAGAAAACCCACAAAATTAGAAAGGCAAAATTTAAACACAACCCCCAAACTTACAAAAGAAAATTTTAAACACAATATTCATCCCTAAATTGAAAACCACCAATCCAAAAAAATAAATTAGATGCACTAACAAAGCTAAAAAATATGGCCAATATCAAACTCACCTTGATGCCCAGTGGATATGGAACCATGGTTGGAGAAGAAGAGAGAATGAAGCTGCTCTAAAGGTCACCGAGTATCAGGTTCTGAGTGAGAGGTGAAATAAATTTTAAAAAAAAAAAGGAAATTTCAATCTATTTGTAAATCCAAAATCACAAAACCCCATATTTGAGCAAAACAAAACCCCCAAATGTAAGACTCGAAAAACTTACAAGATTGACGATTTCCTGAAAACCAAGCTTTTCTAGGTTAAAATTTTCTTCCCGAAGGCAACAGATCTAACATTCTTGGAAAGAAAATTCGATCACGAATTGAAAGAAAAAAAAAAGTGAGAGTGAGAGAGAGACAAACCTTCATACGGAGGCTAGCGATCCGGAGCTCGAGAAATCTGTGGAAGCAAATGGAAGAGCCCTGATTTTCCATCTTTCTTCCGTTATAGGATGAGAGAAACGAAAGAGATGGAGTTGTGGCTAGGGGTGGGCGCGGTTCGGTTTGGTGCAGTTTTGAATGAAACCAAAATCAAAACCGCAAGTTTTTACGGTTTGGTTCGGTACTATTTTGAGGCTAAACCCGAAATGAAACCAAATCATTTGGTTCGGTTCGGTTTGGTTTCAAACGCTTGGTTTGGTTTCATCGTTTGAAAAAATTATTATAGTTACTAAGTTGATTACAACAAAATTCACATCCACAAGGGCCACAACAAAATAATTCAACTTGAGCAACCAAGTTAATAAATTCATGTTCACAAATCCAAAATACAAGTGCGGTTTGAAGAGCACTTTTTGGCTTACTAAGCCAAAGCCTTCTCACAGAAAGTCAGAAATTGTAGATGATATTGTCAAAGACTTGCCCAACAGGCAGTCTGTTTAATGACTTCCTTGCCTCGGTGCATCACAAATTCACGATTAGCGTAAGTTTAGGATCTGATACCATCACAAATTCACGTTACCTAATTGATGACAACATAATTCATACAATGCCTTCAAGAAATTTTCATCTAGAAACACCCACTGGAAAAGTTGATAAATTGAGCAATCGATTGCAAACAATGCCTTCAAAAAACTGCAAAAGCAATGTAAGGCATCTACTACACAAACACACATACAAAATATATGTATACTAAATTAATGTATGCACAATTGCACATTAAATTTTTTTGTGTAAAAATTTACTAAAATTAATAAATTATACTGGGCAGAAACCTATCTACCCATTATTCTCATGTCACCAATATGCAAATATCATATATGCTTTCAATTGACATTCTAATGTTCATGAACGAAGAAAAATCGAAGACTAACCAACGAAAAGCCAAATCACCCTTTTGATTCAAAACCCAACCCTAAACCTAACCCTAAAATTAATCTCAAATCTATAAGTAAATTTAACTAAAACAAGTTATAAATCATAGTTCTTGCCATATTAGCACTCTGAAATTTAGAAGCTAGGAGCTGGAAATCCTTGAATGAAGAGGAAATGAGGCTGGAGGGGAGACCGAGAGAGAGATGAATAAAGTTGAGAAAGAGTACACAGAGTCTACGGACTAGAAGAAAGAAACTAAAGGGTTATGTAGCCATGTTATGATGTGGTTGAGTCCATACGAAATGTATGGACTCAATGAAAATAACCAATTAGAATTTAACATTTAATAAAAGTATGCGGTTTTGGTTTTGGTTTGGTTTCGAAGGGCCGAAATTGAAACCAAACCGTTTTTTCCCTATTCGGTTCAGTTTCAAACCGAAACCATTTTGAAACGGCAAAACCAAACCGTTCAATGCGGTTATATTTGGTTCGTGTTTTGGTTGCAGTTTTCGCTTTCAAGTGCCCACCCAAGATGAAATAAATAAATAAATAAAAGGAAATTTCAATCTATTTGTAAATCCAAAATCACAAAACCCCATATTTGAGCAAAACAAAACCCCCAAGATGTAAGACTCGAAAAACTTACAGGATTGATAATTTCCTGAAAACCAAGCTTTTCTAGGTTAAAATTTTCTTCCCGAAGGCAACAGATCTAACATTCTTGGAAAGAAAATTCGATCACAAATTGAAAAAAAAAAAGTGAGAGTGAGAGAGAGACGAACCTTCATACGGAGGCTAGCGATCCGAAGCTCGAGAAATCTGTGGAAGCAAATGGAAGAGCCCTGATTTTCCATCTTTCTTCCGTTCTGGGATGAGAGAAACGGAAGAGATGGAGTTGTGGCCACTAGGGTTTGAGAAGGACAGAAACAGGAAGAGTGAGAGATGAGAGAGGGCTCGCATAGAAAGAGATGAGAAGAGAGTGCACGCGTGTAACCTAGCGATCCGTGCTAAACCAAACAGACAAAATTACCCTATGAACTTTTAGAATTACCCTCCCAACCCAGCCCCATGTGGCTGGTATTGTTGTAAATATCATGAAATCGAGTGGCTCCATGCTAAACCATATAGACAAAATCACCCTCTGAACTTTTGAGAATTACCTTCCCGACCCAACCTAATTTGGCTGGCATCGTTGTAAATAGAATGAAATCGAGGCACATTTGTTTTACTGTAGCCATGAACAGGCCAATTGCCTCCAACTTTAGAATAGATAATATAAAAATGAAATATCAGTGGTTCAATTTCTATTTCCTTTCATCAAGCCTTTTATGCAAAGAGTTCTCTGTTTTTTTGAAAAAAAATATATATATGAGGATTAGGTGTGGGACCCATTCCATATCGAACTTTAACCCGCAAGCTAGGAGTAACCGCAACCTCCCCAATCCCATGAATGTGACTCTGGCCGAATAAGAGATTGAACCCGCAAGCTAGGAGTAACCGCAACCTCCCCAATCGGAACTGGATGCCCCACAGGTAAAGATGGGAGCCAGCGGTCCACGCACATCCGCTCCACTCATGATTTGCCAGTGAGAACCATTCCGTAAAACCTCTCTACCAATCAGAATACTACTCCAAGCCCAAGAAGCCCTGCCACCTTTTTTGGCATCCCAAAATGAACAGTACGGAAAATAACGAGCCTTCAGAACTCGAGCCCAGAGGGAATTCGGTTCAGTGATCAACCGCCAACACTGCTTAGCCAACAAAGCGTCATTAAATTCACCGAAATTCCGAAAACCCAGACCGCCCATCATCTTTGGAAGACCAAGAACAGCCTTAGAAACCCAATGCGTCTTCCTCCGGTCCCCAAGACTGCCCCACCAGAACCCAGCCACCAAAGCATCCAACTCCTGACAGACAATTGCGGGAAATTTAAAAATGTGCATCGGGTAGGCAGGTATTGCTTGAACAACTGCCTTGATCAAGACTTCTTTCCCAGCTCGGGATAAAGTATACTGCTTCCAACCTTGCAACTTACCCAGAATTTTTCCTTTAATATAAGCAAGACCACGTTTTTTGGATCGCCCCCAAATAGCTGGAACACCTAAATAAGTGCCAGGATTAGCAACCGCAGGAATGCCAAGAACATTAACCAACTCATTGGAAACTTGCATAGAAATATTCGCCCCAAAGTAGACACTCGATTTTTGCAGATTAACTTGCTGACCAGAAGCCTCACAGTACCTTCCCAGAATGTCCACCAGGTTCCGACAATTTTTAGTATTAGCCTTTAGAAAAAGAAGAGTATCATCCGCGAAAAACATATGAGAGATGACGGGCCCCGATGCTCCAATCTTCACTCCGTCCAACATATGCAAATCCACCGCCTCTTGAAGAAGAGAAGAAATGACCTCTCCAACCATCAGGAATAGATATGGGGAAAGAGGATCCCCCTGCCTTAGACCCCGAGAAAGAGTAAACTGTTGTCCGGGTTGTCCATTAAGGAGGACAGCAAACTGCACCGAAGACACACACCTCATAATTAAATGCCTCCAGTCACTGCAAAATCCCATCCTAGCCATAATAGCATCAAGGAAGTCCCATTCCACACGATCATATGCTTTCTGCATATCCAGTTTAATACCCATCTCAAACTTATTTCTAGCTTTTCGCCCTTTTAAGAATTGAAAAGGCTCATGAGCTATGCCAACATTATCGTGAATCATCCGACCAGCCACAAAGGAATTCTGAGAGGGAGAAATAATGTGCGACAGAACACCCTTTAACCGATTCGCAAGAACTTTAGACAGAACCTTATAAGAATAATTGCAGAGACTGATGGGTCGAAATTGCGAAACCGTTTTCGGATGTGAAACCTTAGGAATTAGAACCACGTGGGTAGCATTGAGCGTGCACGGGTTGGCAGTTCCATGCATCAAAGATTTGATCAAGCTGTTAACATCATCCTTCAGCTGCTCCCAAAAGGATTGATAAAAAATCCCTTGGAAACCATCCGGCCCAGGAGCTTTGAGACTGCCCATATGTAACGCTGCCTCCTGAACTTCCTGCTCGGACACCGGCGCAATTAACTCCTAATTCATTGCCTCAGAGACATCCTGGTGAAGACAATCCAAGATAGAACCCCAATTCCTTGGACCCCCCCCCCCGACTGAAATAAGGAAATAAAATGATCCTCAACTAACTCCCGGACCCTGCGGGGATGCTCAACCCACTGCCCATCACCATCCTTCAGAGTGAAGATCGTGTTCCGCCTGCGACGTTGAAGTGTAGATTGATGGAAGAATTTAGTATTTGCATCACCCTCACGTAGCCACTGGACACGAGATCGTTGCTGCCAATAACTCTCCTCCTGAGCGCGGAGGTCATCAATCATTCTAGACTTCTCTTGAATTGCAGAAAAGTTAGGGCCCCAATTTTCCTGAAGCACCCCGAGTTGCTGGGAGAGATCCTCAATTAGATGGCCGCGCTTTTTGAATTTATTGCGACTCCATCGAATAAGGCGAGACCTGCAATCGTTGATTTTAGACGCCCATGAACTCAGAGCCCCTGCCTCCCCCAGCCAAGCCCAGCAATCACTAACCAACACTTTACAATCCTCCTCCCTGGCCCAAAAAGCCTCAAAACGAAACAACTTCCGCCGTTTAGGCCCATCTACCTTAGACTTAATAATCAGAGGGCAATGATCAGATCCCAGAACCGGCCCATGCAAGGCCATCGAATTGGGCCAAACCTCCTGCCACAGCCCATTAATAAGACCCCTATCCAAGCGTTCTTCCACCCACTCCCCTCGCCTAAAACCCCTCCACGTAAAGGCAGGGCCCTTGAACTCCAGATCAAACAACTCCGTAGCATTCATAAAATCCGCCAAAAACCGAGGCCGATTGTAATTAACCGCCACTCCTCCTGACTTCTCATAATCCCAAATGAATTCATTAAAATCACCACCGCAGAGCCAGGGAACATCAGATGGAGAAAAATGGGATTGCATCCAAGCCCAAAATTCAGCTTTTTCACCAGAGTAAGCAGTACCATAGACACCAGTAACCCGCACCCACTGATGGATACCATCAAATCTGACAATAGAATCAATCACAGACCTGGACGAGAAGACAATTTGCACCTCCAGAGAATCGTCCCACCACAAGCTCAAACCTCCAGCCTTTCCGATTGGGTCCACATTAAAACCATTTGAGAATCGCATACGTCTCTGCAAGCCATCAAGCCTATGACTCTTCATTTTAGTTTCTGATAAGAAAATCAGAGAGGGTCTGTTGTGTCGTATAAGCCCATGAAGAGCTCGAACTGCAGTGTCCGACCCCAGACCACGGCAGTTCCAAAATAGGTAATTCATGGTAGCCTTGCGGCTGTTAAGGGCCAGCCGCCACCACCCCGAGCTACAATGCCCGCTTCCTGCGTCACACTCGGATGCTGCTCATCCACCAACTTAGTTTCGACATGGGCCATTACACGATTACTCCTACTAGAACCCTCTGAGGGCTCAACCTCAGCGTAAACCGCACGTTGTATCATCAAGCAGCGTTCCTGGACAGTCAGCCCTTGCCAATTTTCCCCCATTATCCCAGAACTGCCACTTGGATCATGTAAGCCCCTGACCTTCTTAAAAGGATGTTGAACCAAGTCCCAGCATTGACACCCACCTCCCATTTTCATGCCACTAGCCTCCGCGAGAACAGATCGTGGATTCAACCAGGTGCCTTGAACCTCCCCTGCAATAGTGGATAGTAAGCCCGATGAGTTTGTACTAGATACAGAGTGCTGGTGTGTCCCCGCACTGATGACCACCGATTCCCGCTCCCCATGAGGAGAAAGGTCTTGTACATCCTGTTGAGAAATATTACGACCCAAAGTGTTCCAATGAGCGGGACTGCGATCGTCGGTCTCCTTCA